TACTCTCTCCCTCCAATCTGATTATTCAATCTTCCATCACCTAATTTTTTGTTTTCTCATAAACCTTACTCTTTCCGGTATTCACCTTTAATTTTCTTCTTTTGCACACCCTACCAAATTCATCACCAATCTCGCAACTTCTCATTCAACGAATCTCCCAAGAGCACAGTCGTCATCAGCAAAGAGCAGCTGTGACAACTCCCACTTTGTGTGTGATTCTTCTATCTTTTAACTCCAAGCTCTTGCAAGACCCTCGCTTTTACTTCTCTTACAACACCATCTATAAAATATATTAACAACCACGGGTGGTGACATCCACATCCTTGTCCTAAGGCCTACTTTTACTGGGAAAAAAATTTCCCTCTTTCCTACATACTCTAACGTGAGCCTCACTATCCTCGTAAAAACTCTTCACTTGCTTTCAGTAACCTTACCTCTACACTACACTTGCATCATCTGCAACATTGCCCCCTCTATCCACCCTGTCATACCCTTTTCCCAAATCCATAAATGCCACAAAGACCTCTTTAGCCTTATCTAAATACTGTTAACTTATATGTTTTCACTGTAACACCTGGCCACACACCCCCTACCTTTCCTAAAGCCTCCATTGTTTCATCTTGCTATTCCTATTCTCCGTCTTAACTCTTAATTCTTTCATTATAACTCTACATACACTTTACAGGTACACTCAACAGACTTATCCCCCTTATAATTTTTTGCACTCTCTTTTATCCCACTTTGCCTTTATACAAAGGAAACTATGCATGCTCTCTGCATGCATATTATTATTATATATATATATATATATATATATTATATATATATATATATATATATATATATATATTTATGGTAGTAGGTTGGTAGGACAGGCAACCACCACCCCAGGGAGGTTCATAGCCGTCCTGCCCCAAGTGAGTGTAAACGAAGCCTGTGAGTGTTTTACATGATGGGGGATTGCTGGTGTCTTTTGTCTGTCTCATTAAATATCAAGAATTACAGGCATGTCTTGCTACTTCTACTACACTTTGGGTCAACACACATACATGTACACATTTAATTTATACAAATCATCTCGAGTTTTCTTTGATTTTATCTTAATAGTTCTTTGGTCTTATTAATTTTCTTTTATATCCATGGGGAAGTGGAATAAGAATTCTTTCTCCGTAAGCATGGTGTTGTAAAAGTAACTAAAATGCGGGGAAACATTGCGGCTAGTAACCCTTTTCCTGTAAAGATTACTAAAAAGAATAGAAGAAGAAAAATTGTCAAGTGGGAAGTCTGAATGTGCGTGTCGGATCGTTGTGCAGATGATAAGGCAGAAGAGATGATTGTGGATGTTATGAATGAGAAGAAGCTGGATGTCCTGGCTTTAAGTGAAACCAAAAGTGAAGGGGGTGGGAGAGTTTCAGTGGAGAGGAATAAATGGTTTGGTCAGGGGGTTTCAAAATAGTGTTAGAGCGAAAGAAGGAGTAGCAATAATGTTGAAGGATAAGTATGGCAGGAAAAGAGGACTATAAATGTATTTAATTCAGGATATGTGAGAAGTAAAATAAAGATTGGATGTGAAAAGTGGGTTATAATAAGGTGTATGCTACCTGGAGAAGAGTGAAGTGTAGAGGAGAGAGAGAGATTTTGGGAAGGAAATGTGAGGTTGAATGCGTGGGGAGTTTTGAATCAAGTGTGAGAGTAATGGTGGTTGGGGATTTCAATGCTAAAGTGGGTAAAAATGTGTATGGAAGGAGTAGTTAGGTAAATTTGGGGTGCAGGGGTGTAAATGTAAATGGGGGCTTTAATTGAGCTATGTTGTAGAAGAAATTTGGTAATAAGTAATACATATTTTATGAATAAGATGGATAAATAACTATACAAGGTATGATTGTAGCCGTATGAAAGTAGTTTATTAGATTATGTATTGGTGGATAAAAGGGAGATGGGTATGCTCAGGTGTACATGTTATAGAGGGGCAACTGATCTATCGGTTCATTTATTTAGTTGTAGCTACAGTTAGAGTAAGAGGTAGAAGGGAAAAAGAGGAAGGTGGCAACAACAAAAGTAAGAGGAGGTGAAAGTGTAATAAATAAGGAGAAGGAGTTCGGGTGGATATAAGCGACTATTGGCAGAAAGGTGGGCTAGTGCAAAGATGAGTAGTGGGGGGGTTGAAGAGGGTTGGAATTGTTTTTTTTAACGATGCCAATGTTATTAGAATGTGGGCAGAACGACTTTGTGGCTTATGGAGGGTGGGGGCAGGAGGAAAGAGGCCGAGTGATTGGTGGAAATGATGAGTAAAGGGTTGTGATAAACGAGGAAAAAAATGTAGCTAGGCTTAATGAGAGGTTTTACAAAAGCAGAAGTGTTATAAGAACGAGCAGAAGTATATGGAGAGTAAAAGAAAGGTAAAGAGAGTGGTGAGAGAGTGCAAAAGGAGAGCAGAATGATAGGTGGGAGAGGCAACTGTCAAGAAATTTTTAATGAAAATAAGAAAAAAATTTTGGAGTGAGTTAAACAGTAGAAAGCCTAGGGAAAATAGGATTTTGTCCAGTATAAAAAACAGAGTAGTGGGAGTTAGTAGTTGGGGAGATGAGAGGTATTGGGTAGATGGCGAGAATATTTTGAGAGAACTTTTAAATGTTAAGGAAGAAACAGAGGCAGTAATTTCTGCACTGGTCAGGGAGTTTATACCACTCTTTTTAGGAGTTGAAGAAGAGCAGATGTAAGTGTGGGGGAGGTAACGTGAGGCATTACGTAAAATGAAAGGGGGGGTTAAAGCAGCTGGAACTGATGGGATCATGACAGAAATGAATAAAAGCAGGGGGGGATATAGTGTTGGATTGGGTTGGTTACTTTTGTTTTAATTAAGAGAGAGAGTATGAAAGAGGGGTAGGTACCTAGGGATTGGCAGCAGAGGCATGTATAGTCCCTTTATATAAAGTGAAAGGGGACAAAGAGACTGTAAAAAATTATAGAGGGAATAAGCTTACTGAGTATACAAGAGAAAAGTGTACGGGTAGGGTTATAATTGAAGATTAGAGGTAACACAGAATGTAGGATTGCGGATGAGCCAAGGGGGGGGGAGGTTTTAGAGTGGATAGGGGATGTGTAGATCAGGTGTTTACATTGAAGCCATATATCCGTGAACAGTATTTAGATAAAGATAGGGAAGTTTTTATTGCATTTAGGATTTAGAAAAGGCATATGATAGAGTGGATTAGTGGAGCAATGTGCAGATGTTGTCAAGTATATGGAATAGGTGGAAAGTATTAATGTGTAAAGAGTTTTTATGAGGCATTAGTTAGGCTCAGGTTAGGGTGTGTAGAAGAGAGGGAGACATATTCCGGTAAAAGTAGTGTCTTTGACAGGATGTGTAATGTCACCATGGTTGTTTAATATATTTATAGATGGGTTGTAAAGAAGTAAAATGCTTGGTGTTGGGAGAGGGGTGGGGATTAAATTATGGGGAATCAAATTCAAAAATGGGAATTGACACAGTACGTTTTGCTGATGATACTGATCGCTTATGGGAGATTCTAAAGAAAAATTGCATAGGTTTAGTGGATGATGTTTCTGGGAATGTGTGTAAAGGTAGAAAGTTGAAAGTGAATATAGAAAGAGTAAAGGTGATGAGGCGTGTTGTCAAATGATTTAGATAAAGAAAAATTGCTATATCAAATTGGGAGGAGGAGTATGGAAGAAGTGAAGTTTTCAGATACTTGGAGTTGACGTGTCGGCGGATGGATTTTATGAAGCGATGAGGTTAATCATAGAATTGAGAGGGAAAAAAAGGTAAGTGGTGCGGTTTGTGTGGTATATGTGGAGTCCAAAAACGTTATCTATGGCGGCAAAGAAGGGAATATATGAAAGTATAGTTAGTACCAAACACTCTTATATGCAGGGTTGTGAAGCTTGGGTGGTAAATGCAAGCGCTAGGAGACGGTTGAAGGCCAGTGGGAGGTTGTCTGTTTAAGGGCAATGTGTGGTGTAAATATTATGCAGAAAATTCGGAGTGTGAAATTAGGAGAAGGTGTGGAGTTAATAAAAGTATTAGTCAGTGGCCAGAAGAGGGTTGTTGAGGTGTGTTTGGTCATTCACGTGCGAATGGATCAAAGTAGAATGACATGGAAAGCATATAAATCTATAGGGGAAGGAAGGCAGGGTTAGGGGTCGTCCTCGAAAAGGGTTGGGGAGGGGAGTAAGGAGGGTTTTTTGTGGGTAAGGGGCTTGGACTTTCAGCAGCGTGCGTGTTCGTGAGCGTGTTGGAGTGAATGTGAGATGAATGGTACTTGGGGACCTGACGATCTGTTGGAGTGTGAGAGGGTAATATTTGTGAAGGGATTTTCAGGAACGGAGGAAACCGGTTATTTTTATATAGTCGGACTTGAGTCCTGGAAATGGTGAAGTACAATGCCTGCACTTTAAAGGACGGGGTTTGGGATATTGGCAGTTTGGAGGGATATGTTGTTGTAATCTTTATATGTGTAATGCTTCTAGAATGTATGTTTTCTGAGCACCTCTGCAAAAAACATTGATAATGTGCGGTGTGGTGTGAAGTGTTGAAATGATGATGAAAGTATTTTCTTTTTTGGGATTTTCTTCTTTTTTGGGACACCTGCCTCGGGGGAGACGGCCGACTTCGTTTGAAAAAAAAAAATATATATAATATATATATATATATATTATAGGTACATTTTCTAGGTGAAATGCAGCTTAAATTGTATAAACTACAGTGACTAGCCATTTAACAAAGGCATGTACATTAATGTGTGTATGTACACAGGGTTTACTTGAATCCTGGCTTAGAGATAAAAGTGCAGGTTATTCTGAACAGCCCATTAGTATTTATTAATAATAGACCCTCAACCCCAGCAACACTTAAAACTACTATATTAAGATAGCAATGGAGTAAGAATGTAAACTCAATACATTTATGCAGTATATCAACAAGGTTACTTCAAAACAACATCAATGGAGAGTGCTTTTAGAAAGTTGTTGGTACTCACTTATTAGAGGTTTCCAGGATTTTCTTCATCTTCCCATCTTCTGCTTTGATCTCTAAGGCAAACTTAATGTCCTGCTCCTTTTTCTGATGCAACTGAGCCAAGAGGTTCTGCAGTTGGGCCTTTCTCTCCCTAATGGTTGTGCTCTCCTTTCTCTTCTCCTCTATGACATTCTTCAGAGCCTCCAACTCAGACTCCTCAGCTCGCAGCTTCTTGAGAGCCAAAAATGTCTCTTGAGCTGATAAGCTGTGCTCATCATTACTGGATGACTGAGCAGCAGTGATGTCACTTCTCTTGCACAGATCATGCTGAAACAATTGGTACATATAGTTCTGTAAGCACTTTTACACAAACACATTACACTAAAAGAATCATGGAAGCTGGATGTGTTTTGGTCCATCTTTAATTCTTGTTAATTTACAAGTTTCACTTGCAATTTGCAGTTAATTAATTGCAAATACTGTACCACAGCTCCAGAAACAGTATTCTGACTAATTTTAGTACTAGCCCTGTCACTGTACTACATACACCATGCTCAAAAAAGACAAAATAAGGCTCGTGCAGAAATTCACTGCTGTTGAAAGATAACTAATAATAAATAAATAATTTTATGAAGGGATTCAGGGAAGCCGGAGAGCCAGACTTAAGTCCTGGATTCGGGAAGTACAGTGCCTGCAATCTGAAGGAGGGGTGATATGTTGCAGTTTTTTTTTTAACTGTAGTGTTGGCATTCCTCTAGCAAGACAGTGATGCAATGAATGATGGTGAAAGCATTTCTTCTTTTTTTGATCACCTTGCCTTGGTGGGAAATGGCCGATGTGTTAATAAAAAATAAATATAGTGCCTTTCCTTTTTTCCTATGTTTTTATATCATTTCCCTCCCCCCTTTCTTTCTTTTTACTTAATCACTGGAACATCTGTTCTGCATTTTTTAGTTTCTCAGCAAAAGCAATTACAGTACAGACAGGCCCCGCTTATACAGCACCTTAGATTCCAGGCTACTGCTGTAAAGTGAAAATTGCTGTAAAATGAAGCATAGCCTTTTTTTCACTTTCAAATGAATATAAAAAGCCTGATAACATGTTTGCACTATCATATACTAAGTAAGCAATAGAGTTAGGCCTAAAAAATGCACATACGTACAGTACACATATTACTTAAAATATTTTCATCCTTAGCTTATAGTGAGTGGTGAATATATTTCTTGAAAGAAGTCTGAATTAATGAACCATACCCCCGGCCGGGATTGAACCCGCGGTCATAGTCTCAAAACTCCAGCCCGTCGCGTTAGCCACTAGACCAGCTAGCCACAATAAGATTCATCCAACTAGGTATATTTCTACACCATAGGAAGGTTAGCACAGGCACCACTGTGACCACAAATGCAAGTTTTTACAGACGAATCTCCACGGCCACGCTAGCTGGAGATTTGTCTGTAAAAACTTGCATTTGTGGTCACAGTGGTGCCTGTGCTAACCTTCCTATGGTGTAGAAATATACCTAGTTGGATGAATCTTATTGTGGCTAGCTGGTCTAGTGGCTAACGCGACGGGCTGGAGTTTTGAGACTATGACCGCGGGTTCAATCCCGGCCGGGGGTATGGTTCATTAATTCAGACTTCTTTCAAGAAATATATTCACCACTCACTATAAGCTAAGGATGAAAATATTTTAAGTAATATGTGTACTGTACGTATGTGCATTTTTTAGGCCTAACTCTATTGCTTACTTAGTATATGATAGTGCAAACATGTTATCAGGCTTTTTATATTCATTTGAAAGTGAAAAAAAGGCTATGCTTCATTTTACAGCAATTTTCACTTTACAGCAGTAGCCTGGAATCTAAGGTGCTGTATAAGCGGGGCCTGTCTGTACTGTAATTGTTTTTGCTGAGAAACTAAAAAATGCAGAACAGATGTTCCAGTGATTAAGTAAAAAGAAAGAAAGGGGGGAGGGAAATGATATAAAAACATAGGAAAAAAGGAAAGGCACTATATTTATTTTTTATTAACACATCGGCCATTTCCCACCAAGTTTTGAGACTCTATGACCGCGGGTTCAATCCCGGCCGGGGGTATGGTTTGTTTGCAATCGTGTCATTACGATTACTGAATTAATGAAGAATGGCTATAACTAAAAAACCACTCCACTAGCAAAATGCTGTAAAGTGAAGCTCTGCAAAGCAAAGCGCTGTAAAGCCGGGCCCTCTTGTACTTTGCTGATATAAATGCCAAGATAACATGAAGAGTTGTTTGCCATATTCTATAAGAGAGCCTTCAACTGGCCATGGGGGTTATATAAGGTATCAGTGACATTATGCCCATGGCTCAACTGGTTGTGGTCAGGCCCTGATCCACCGCAAGACCTGGTCATGGACTAGGGTACAAGGGTGCTGACCCCCAGAACACCCTCCAAGTATACTCCAGGTCTCAGCTCACAACCGAGGGAGTGGGGCTTGGTCTCCAGAAGAGTGGAACTACCAGGCATGCTTCTTTACACCTATTGCCCCTGTTCACCCAAAATTAAGCTGACAGTATCTTTCTGTTAGCCAACTGTTGTGCAGTTGCATCCTAGGGAGAGGATTAAACGACCAAAAGGAAATAAACCAGTCTGATATCAGTGGCTTTGTTAGGTTGGCTTTGTTCTCCATAATACATTGCATAATTAGTGGCTTCCTTCTGTGCTTTTAAGCATTTTTTTACAGGACTGAAGAACAATAAAAACTGAAAACAGAAACCAAGAGACAACTGAAACATAAATAAAACTTACCTTTTTATGACATATTGAATGTTAACAAATTGTATCTTAGTGCCTGGTGGAAAAAAAACACAACACTCCTATGTTTCTATAAACTTACTGTATTTACATAATTTATTTCCTGAAGTCTAAACTTCTATACTGTCTACAAGAGTTTTCTACTGTATTTGATGCACTTTCTGTTCTGCATAAACAGGAGCTTTCCACAAAGTTTGTAATACATGTCACCAAATTTTGTAACAAATGTATAGTATTATTTTTGTGCTTCTAATAGATCTGGCAATAATTTGAGTACAGTGGAACCCCAGTTTTCGTCTGGTCTGGTTAACATACAATTCAGTTTTCGACCACTTTTTTTTGGCAAAATTTTCCCCCCATTTTCGTACATCCACTCGGAAATCGTCCGTACCAGACACGTCCGCCTGCTCACAGGACGCAGCAGCTCATATGTTCGTGACTCAGTCTGCCTTTGTTACTCGTAGAGGGTGGTAGTGGTTGTGATGGTGGTAGAGGGTGGTAATGATGGTGGTAGAGGTTGGTAGTGATGGTGGTAGAGGTTGGTAGTGATGGTGGTAGAGGTTGGTAGTGATGGTGGTAGAGGGTGGTAGCTATGGTGGTAGAGGGTGGTAGCTATGGTGGTAGAGGGTTGTAGCTATGGTGGTAGAGGGTGGTAGCTATGGTGGTAGAGGGTGGTAGCTATGGTGGTAGAGGGTTGTAGCTATGGTGGTAGAGGGTGGTAGCTATGGTGGTAGAGGGTGGTAGCTATGGTGGTAGAGGGTGGTAGCTATGGTGGTAGAGGGTGGTAGCTATGGTGGTAGAGGGTGGTAGCTATGGTGGTAGAGGGTGGTAGCTATGGTGGTAGAGGGTGGTAGCTATGGTGGTAGAAGGTGGTAGTGATGGTGGTACAGGGTGGTTGTTATGGTGGGAAAAGGTGGTAGTGGTTGTGATGGTGGTAGAGGATGGTCGTGATTGTGGTAGAGGGTGGTAGTGATGGCGGTAGAGATAACCTCTCCTCTCTCTCCCCTCCTCGTCATCTTCCATATGCCAACAAGAGTCTTCAATAAAGGTAAAAGTGATTTAAATGTTCATTTATCGATTTCTGTATGTAAAACTATAGTTATTCTCTATAAAATGTATTTTTTGTTAATATTTTTGGGTGTATGGAACGGATTAATTGGATTTACATTATTTCTTATGGGAAATATTACTTCAATATTCGTACCAATCAGTTTTCGGTCGACCTTCTGGAATGGATTAAAGAAAAAAACCGGGATTCCACTGTATTATGTCCTCAGTTATAGCATGTGGCAACTTGCATTTAACACTTATTTTTTTTATTGGCAAAGGTGATACATGAAGAGAAGCATTACTTTAATGAAACATGGGTAAATAGATACCACATGAGCCAGGATTTTTTTTTTATCTAGGAGAGACATGAGGCACATGATTTGACAAGATGTTGGAAGACCTTAATAAAATGTGGACTGTATGAAATTTAAAAGCTACATTTTGTGGTACTGATGTAAATGAGGTGTGACATATTCACTTTTAGCCACTTAGGACCACAGAGATAAGATAAGATTTCGTTCGGATTTTTAACCCCGGGGGGTTAGCCACCCAGGATAACCCAAGAAAGTCAGTGCGTCATCGAGGACTGTCTAACTTATTTCCATTGGGGTCCTTAATCTTGTCCCCCAGGATGCGACCCACACCAGTCGACCAACACCCAGGTACCTATTTGCTGCTAGGTGAACAGGACAACAGGTGTAAGGAAATGTGTCGAAATGTTTCCACCCGCCGGGAATCGAACCCGGGCCCTCAGTGTGTGAAGCAGGAGCTTTAGCCACCAGGCCACCGGGCAAGGTATTCAATCAAGGTAAGCAAGCAGTATACATGGTGTACAGAATTTTTCTCTGGTTATTATGTAAGGTAACGAGGTAGAAATAGTTACTGTACTGTATTAAGTTTGATACAAATCTTCCATAACATTTATGACAGGTTGTGATCAGCAAAACAAAGTACATGTAATTAAACTTACTGTCTTAGGCAGTCTTTTGGGAAGAGAAACATCTTTTGGTGAAGACCTGTGATGCTTTTCCCTAAGTTGCACCTGGTCCTGTGAAGGAATATTTATGAGTTTATAAACTAAAATGACACAAACTGCAGGGAGGGAATTACTTAAACTAAGTAAGTTTATTTAGGCAGAGGTACATGTAAGTATAATTATTATATAGTGTAAATTACCTACGATAACCCCAAAAAACCAAGTGATTTATGCCACAAGTGGACAATTTAATGAAAGTGCATACAGTAAATGATTAAGAGCATCCAATTTCTGTTAGAGAACACTATTGGACTGTTAGCCCCAAACGGTTAAAATCCCTGGATATCCTAAAAAAAAAAAAAGTAGCTTGTTTCCCCTGGGATCTTTGTGTCCTCTCTTCTAAGTTGCAAACCACTACAGATGACCAACTCTTACCCACTATTTAGGTATTTGGTGAAAGGTGAAGGGCAGAGGCTGGGTCCAATTATACCTAGGGACGATGGATCCAAATCTAATTTGTGCTCTGCTTTCACACTTTCACATAGGGTTTGCAGCCTGTTTCTGGTTGGATTGGGTCACAATGTTAGAACCATAAATATAAGATAAAAAACGATAAAAAATATATATAACGGTTGGGGCTGGAATCCATGGCAGGCGAGTGGTGAAACTCCAGAGGCAACTATACTGACCACTGTACCAGCTGGCCTGTGAGTTTTAGCACTCACCTGTTCTGTGATTTGCTTTCAATCATGATAATAAACATATTAAACTAAATAACTCATGTTAATTTTTTTTTTTTTTATTCGCCGGTATTCTCCCGGCCCGGGTCTTTTCCAAGTAGTGGTGACCCGGCCTTCGCTCCCTATCTGGGGAGTGTCTCGAGACTAAAGTCTCCCATGGGAGGAGGTACAGTACCTCCTCATCTTTGGGACCAAGTGTCCCCAGGCCTAGCCACATTCCCCGCCTCAAAGGGGCTCGTGGGGATGGCAGTCTTATGAGCTGCAGATGGTAGCAAGCTCAGGCTTTCATGTTAATATTTCGTGATTCACGATAAAAGAAAAGGTTCCGCGCGCATAGAAAACTGGCAGCCACAGCACATGGCTCATGTAAAAGTCAAATTTAAACTATTCAAGACTCCATCAACAGTCATCATTTGACTATTGTTACAAGTGCCATAATATAGTTAACGTGGGGCTGAAATACTAACCATTGATTGGCACCTGACATGCTGCATGTCCCAAATAAATGTATTATTTTTGGTAATATTGTAGGAAATAACAGTTCGTGCCTGGTTATAGATACCATGATTCTATAAAATAAAAAATCCGTGATATCTATAAAGGACATGTCCATATTAACCACAAATATTCCGCATTTTGGTTCGGACACGAAGGTGAACAATTTCATTGTTATTATTATTATAAAATGTATTATTATGGGGGAGAGCTAAACCCGTAGGATTATATAGCGCGTGGGGGAGGGGGTGGAAGGCACTCAGGCTCAATTCAGGGAACCAGAGCACATCCAATTCCCTAGATCAAGAGCCCCTCACCAGCATCAAGAACCCTCCCTTGAGAGGTTTTATAAAATGTAACCAACTCACAGTAAGGCTCCTGAAGGTCTTCAAGGTAGCTAGGTATCTCTTCTCCAGTTGATTAATAGATTCCTCAAACTTCCTATTCTTTGCCTTTTGCATCTCCTTCTCCTTCTTTAGTTTAAGCATTTCGTGAGACATTCAGGAAGTAAGATTACCAAAAAAATGAGAACAAAATATTTACGAGGCGCCATTACTTATATCTTCACGCTTTTCCAAATTCTCCATACTTCTTGGTTGTGTAATGTCTAAATTATTGGCTGTTTTTTGTTACCAGTGGCTCTTATATTTCACATCTTGTTAGCAGAACAAGTATAAAAGTAGATAATCATGTTCTTCAGTTAAACCTTAAAAATAAAAGTAAAATATGCCACGGTTGTAACAATTTATAAATAATTCACAAACTGGAAATTGAAGCTAAAGATTTTGGTCAGTCCTCAGCCATTATGAAGTTGAGAGATAAAGAAAATGAGAGGAAGCAAGAAGTTTGGTCTTGTCTTTTTGCTAATTTAAGTCAGGGAGAAGCATATGACAGGAGCTTTAATCATATATGAGGACGACAGGCTGATCTGGAAATACTCAAGGTACCTAATGAATGTAGCGACAGAAAGGGAAGAGAATGATTTTTTATTTCTTTAGCTAACACACATGTAAATATAAATAACTCATTTTACCTTATTCCTAGTATATCTCCTTTATAGTAAAATAATAAGATATTATCTCCTTTCTAGTATAATAAAGTATTAAAAGGACCCCAATGGAAATAAGTCACTGACTTTTTTTGGGTTATCCCAGGTTCTCCACACATGCTGCTATGTATGATAATCTATGTAACTATTTATGTATACCTGAATAAACTTACATGTTGTGGTCGGAAAAGCGGCAGGTACAATTTAATGTTAACTGTCAGAGTCTAATCCTTGGAAATGAAAATACCAGGACACCTACAAACTAAATAATATACATCTTAATCAAACCAAATGTGAAAAAGATCTGGAGTTTTATTTAACAAAGTCTAAAGCTATAACCTTACCAGCAGAGCTGTGGCTCGTACGTTGGATTGCGTGCAGCCAGCAGTAACAGCCTGGTTGATCAGGCTCTGATCCACCAGGAGGCCTGATCACAGACCGGGCCGCGGGGGCGTTGACCCCCGGAACTCTCTCCAGGTAAACTTGAGGTATAATGTTTGCAATAAAACTAATAGGCGTCTTGGCTTAATAACAAAAACTGTAAATACTACAAAACCTTATTTTGATTATGCAACTCAGTTTTGGTCTCCATATTACACAATAAATATAAATGTCACGAAAAACGCCAAGTTGACATAGTTAATTCAGTAAATAAGATACCTTCACTATTGCTTTCCAGGTACACTGAAAGCATTTAATTTTTGGAACAGCGTAGAATTAGAGGAAGGATAGGACTGAAGTATACAAGCAGAAAAAAACGTAATTAATATGCTGAAAATATCTGACCAGGATAAGACTCACAGTAACGGATTCAAGTTAGATTTAGAATTAGAAGCAATATAGGGAAGCACTGGTTGGACAAATGAACAAACTACCATCTACCAGTAGCGTCACTGAAGTTTGTTTTCCTCTAAGTGTCTTGTATTATTGTACCTGTCACCATTTTGTCTTCTAATCGTAATTGCACGTTGAGTCTTGGCACAATTGTGTAATCTTGGTCTTGATGGCTCTCTCCTTGAATTTATTGTAATCAAATACTCGGCATTACAAGGATAACTTAAGGTTGTGGTAAGGTTTCACCTTAGTATGGTGAAAATGTCAGATTTATAAAGATTATTATTATTTATCTTGCATACTAAATTAGATCGCTACTTGTCTGCCCGAAATGCTCATGCATGCTAGTGGCTTTTTATTCACAATATTTTATCACATGTAAACTACACACTATGACATCCAAAGAAATAAAAATTTTGAAGGGGGCACTAGTACCTGCTCAGAATTCTGAGAGAATGCTTAAAGAATTAATAAAAATGCTGAACGAATCGAAAAGAATCATCCTAGGAAGCTCACATACACCAATATATTTAACATGCGGTAAAAACTTGATGTTCCTGTAAAAATTGAACCTGACGTATAAATGAATAATGTAAAAGAGCATTACCAAACTAAGCAACAGCAAAATTTCCTGCACCATGGAAAATTATTCATTTCTAAACCACTGCCCTCTTGTGCCTCCCTTGTCCAAGGAAACTTGTCAGTTCACATTCCAAATTTAGTCTTGACAGCAGTCATCAGGCTTAAATTATGTAGATACTTTAGTCGCACAGCATTTTCTCCCTGTGTATAGTGATACCTGGAGTTGCTTCCGGAGGAAACTGCCCCTCGTTACAAAAATGGTATATAATACCAAGAAGATTAGGAATTAGACACGTGTGCAACACCTAGGTGTCTAATGAAAATGATTCGCCAATGAGTGACTTTTTAAGTTCAATATTGATAAATTAGACACATGTGCAACTCTTGGGTATCTTTATTAAGGAAACGTTTCGCCACACAGTGGCTTCATCAGTCCATAAAAAGGAGAATCTTGAAGAACAGAAGGAGAATGAGGTAATCAGTCCCTCAACCTTGAGTCGATGTGGTCAGTCCATCAATCGACTCAAAGTTGAGGGACTGATTACCTCATTCTCCTCCTGTTCTTCAAGATTCTCCTTTGTAAGGACTGATGAAGCCACTGTGTGGCGAAACGTTTCCTCAATAAAGATACCCAAGAGTTGCACATGTGTCTAATTTGTCAACATGTCGGTTCTCTGGACCATTCATCTACAAAGATATGATATTGAGATGATATACGAAGACAGTAGATGAAAAAAGATAATGAACACCAGTTTCTAGACTGAGGGACTGATTGCCTACCTTTTTGTATGTATGTATATATATATATATATATATATATATATATATATATATATATATATATATATATATATATATATATAGTATATAGTTCTACAGGATTGAAGGACTGGTTACCTCATCTTCTGTTTCCGTATAACATCTCTGTTAAACAGAAAAATTAACTGTTTGGCGAATCGTCTTCAAGCAAAGATAGCCAAGTGTTGCACAAGAACGTATACTGAAAAAAAAACACACATTTGCTTGTAGTTACATACAGCGTCGGCAAACCCAACTTAGCCTATCCAAACCTAATTTAACCTAATTAATCTAACCTAATTTTTCTTTCTGTGGCTGTTTTTCCTGTAACTTTATTTGGGTACACACAACCAACCCTCCAATGCACCTAATAGTCTATTCAATTCAAAGTTTATTCTCTATAAGGATTACAATGCTGAGTTTACAGAATTTGGTTTACATGTAGTAAAATAATAATTACAGAGTGTACCACTAGATGCTGAAATTTGTGTAAATACTTTAGTCGCGTGTGCCCCACGCGCGTCTACCCGGCATCCCACCACCCAGACAGCTCAATGTTTTTGTTTATTTAGGTTAGGCTTGAAAAAATAAGAAAGTGCACAATGAGTTACGAGACCTCTACCAGTTCAGCGCTTCCTGATGGGGAGACACGGACAAATCTCATCATTAATTACCTTCCACAGACACTTACGGACCAAGAGTTTTACAAGATATTTGTTGTAGTAGGACCCATAAAAAACTGCCGCATTATGAAGGACTTAAAGACTGGATATTCCTTTGGCTTCGGCATTGTGGAGTACCAGAAGCCAGAAGATGCCGCTAAAGCCATCCTATGACAGAGTAAGTCTGATATTGCTCTGGAACATTGTTAATAAATATATATATCTTGTTGAACATACTACATAAAAAATGGGAATATGTATTAGTGAGTGAGTTACAATTTCTAGTGTACTGTTAACCATATTAGTTGGTATTCTTCACTTTGTCAAATAATTACTATCTATATATTGTTATAATTCATTTATGTTAGTTCTTTTTTATACGTTTTAAGTGAACAAATGTAAGGTGTTGTGACTAGTGCAAGTGGCTTTTATCTTGCACTAGGGAAAAGGGGAAGTGTAAAGTAAATATGATTAGATCATAACGAAATGTCATTGGATATATGTACACTGTATTTAGAAGACGGGAAGGATTGTGAGGATTGTCAATATATGTATTAATTCTTATGTAAATTTCATGGAACTCAGGATGATAATAATGTACACCTATTAGTCGGATGATAAGTTTTGATATTATTATGCTTATTGTAATATAATTTGATTGATGAAATGTATAATCTGGTTTTTAGCTATGGAGTAAAGAGATAAAAAGCATAGGGGATAGGGAATATTTTGTAAGCACAAAGATGAATCAGCAGTATGTAATTAGAAAATGTAACATTTTTATTTTTCTGTGGCGGAGACGATAAGGGGTTCTCATATTCCTTTGTTATTGTACCTTAATGTTTTATTAAATTTAATGACTGATGGAGGTTATGAGTGGTGACGGCAGACACAGTTACTAGGCATGTGGGGGGGGGGGTGAAGAGTCAGCGGTAGTGTTTTAATCCACCACCGTGCACGATATTGATTGTTATCATGGGGTATATGAGGGTTAGGGTGTGGGTTGGTTTCTTTGGTGGATGTGTGCCATCATGTTCAGACTTTTCTTGTATTATAGTCAGCCTTTTAGATGGCTGGATTGTGTTTATACATGTTGTCAATGATATCCTTAATGCTCTAATAAATGTATAAGAGATAAAAAAAAAAAAAAAAAATACTTTAGTCACAAAGCATTCTCTCTCCCAACATATGTTTATACCTTTCCAAGCCAAACTCAAAGGGGTGGACCTATTTAATCCACTAACAAACTGTTCCCATTCCTGTTGCCTAAGTTCTTCCTTTCTATTCCTTGCATTTGTTAGTGCAGCTTGGAACGTTCTGAGCAGGTCTGGGGTTCTACATTCACGGTATGCTTTACCAATCCTCCTAGCTGCATGTGTTAGATTGCGCAGCTGTGGATCATTATAGTATTTACATTGGTTTTTATTGTTATTTATAGTGGAGGGTCTTTGTTTCCTATTCCTGCCCACTTGATCTGTGAGAACACTCTCAATAGTGGTAATTAAATCATCATTAAATTTTTGTGTGCCAATGGGCTCGTAATTCTTATACCATTGATCCAAGTGGTTAATAAAGTTGTCTCTGTGTTCTGGTTAGTACTTCTGAAGAAATGTTGAAACTAATTAATTTTATGAGCCAAAATATTGATGAGAGTGATTGCCTCTTTACCGAGTATGA